TGTTAAATGAATATGAATATGAATAGTTATTCACCAATATACACTTTGAACATTAGGGTTAAGACAAGGACCCCTAATTTGAAGCATTGAACATTGTTAGATAATGAACGAAGCCCTTGTGTCTGCAAAAAGTTACGAATCTAGCCCCCCAACACCCCGGAAACATTGATTTTGAACCATGTTAAAATTACGACAAGGACTCCTCAACGTTCATTCTTAGCTTGGAACCCGGAATACATATGCTCATATACTCTCTTCTGAATTCCCATTATGTCTGTGTATTGACAATAATGGAATTTATTCAAATAAATTCAACAAGGCACTCCACCAGCAGCTAAATGCAGCCTGCGAAATCATTTTGAACTACTGGTTTATGTAACATTACGTTGATTACTTCACCAGGGACCAGACATTTAGTCCTTCAACTTCACACTTGTCTTGGACTGGAAGACAAGTGGCAGGGTTGAAATCCAAACAAAATCCAAATATTATTCAAACCTTCACGTTTATAATTTCCAACAGCTGATAGAAAATGCTATTAGCTGAGAACAGCTTTAGCATCATCCCTTCACAAGATGAAGCCAATTGCTATCCAAGTTTCAAAGATAGAAGACAGAGTTATGGCGTCAGGAGAGAATCTCCGGCACCCAGCCCAAACTAGCCAGCATTGTGGGACGTTCCTCAGCCATATTCTTCATGTTAGACTGTGATCCCCATGTTAACCTGTTGACTTTACTTCAATCAGTGAATGAGATTGTAATTCAATTCTCTTGGCAACTCAGTCATGCTTAGCCCTGATTAAGCACTACGGCACTTTATGACTCAAGTCTGTGCACAACTCAAATGAATCAATTTCCATCATATTTCATTATTTGCTAACACTTCAGCACACTTCCTCACAGCCAAAACATAAGAAGTGTTGTTTGGAAAGAAGAAATACAGTTTCAGCATGTTTAGCAATCTCGAGAGTGAAGCAAGTTAGTGAATATTGTGTTTTAAAAACAAAGTTAAAAGACCCAGCTAAATTAGTTTTATACAGTGTGATCACAGAGTAATCAAGTCAAATATTTCGCCATAGGTATCAGCAACAGATGGATGCATATTTCAAGTAGAAACAGTGATAGAAATTGGCACTAGTCCTATAGTCCTTGCCATACTGCCCAATAGTTAAGGTAACCTATTTTAGTGTTTTGCTATATGTTATCATCATAAAGACAAGTGGACAAAAAGCATTAGTTTTCTACCGCTGAGAATCGTGACTTTAAAGGCTTCTTTCAGCCCTTGCTGCACTAATTCTGAGCCTGAGCGTCAATAAGACTAAGTTATAATGACATTAAGAGTCTGATAGAAAGCCACACATTAATGCCACAAACCCTTCTACAGTCTCTCCTGCATCTAGAACATCAAATCAATACTATCAGCCAACACTGACAACATGTTCAATGTCTTCTTTCCATGCCGTAAAGGATAATAAGCTTTAGTCAAAAACATATCCTGTTTAACATCTTTTTGTCTTCTCGTTGATTCGAAAAGATCACTATCATTTACTCAGCAAGTATTTGTCCTCGGGGCTCAGTCTGTAATGATGCAGTGTGGTCTTGAAACAATGGCATGGACACCCTGGATGTGGAAGCTTAACTATGAAATTTGCAATCATGTATATTCTGCTTCATTTGTGGTCTGAGAGAGTTATCAGTGCAGTTTGAACTCTAGACAACTTGTCCCCATTTGGAGATCATTACAGAACATAATTATCTTGGCAATAGCTAAGTGAGTTGGAGCTAGACATTGTTGCAGTTTGTCCAGCTATGCTAAGACTGTGGGGAACTACAGCCTGATCATCACACACCTGTATTGATCAAACAGTAAGATCAGATGTCATGCTGCAGCTGCAGTGGTCTCTCATCATTATTCTCAGCCTTATGTATGTCACATGTTTACATGAAAAACAAGTCAAGTAGAATTTCAATGCAGATAATGACTTAACGAATGCATAACGACCTATTTCTGCGTCTCAAGACAAATGAGCATCTGACGAAGGAACTAGCCCAGACATTCATCTTACATTTCCAATTCCAGATAATTGAATGACACTAGCAGTTTCTCCTCGTCTACAGTGGTCACGGCAACTGATGCACATTATTACCATCCTACTATTTAATATGAGATCCTTGATGATCCGGGGTGGAATAGGTCTTCAGCAACCCATGCTTGCTGTGAAATGCGCCTATGCTTGTCATAAGAGGTGACTTACAGGATCGGCTGGTCAGACTCGCCGACTTGGTTGATGCATGTCTTTGGAACCCAATTGCATGGATCGATGTTCATGATATCAATCACTGGATTGTCTGATCCAGACTCGAGTATGTACAGACCGCCGTCATATAGCTAGAATATTGCTGACTGTCGCGTTTAACAACAAACAAAACTTAAAATAAGTAACAGATAAGAAATCTTGCAATGACACCATAATCATACAACTGTAAGACAGAAGTGGGGAACCAAAATAATTATGATAATGGCAGCATTAATGTGACATGTCATCCATAACATGCCCTGCTGGTGCTCCGTAGAGACCCACCACATGCCGGGTGCTGAGTCAGGGTTAACATGGACAGAGACTTATCTGGGTCCATGTATTTCGAGTCCTAGGATCTCCAGTAATTATGTTTATCGGGCCCAGTGTGGTGACTTTTAACAATCTAATATAATTGCACATGCTCACATGTTACGGCCTATCTTAGAGAGAGATTTCAATGTCTTACTTAAGAAAATCAGCCACAGATGTTTAAGTGTAATTCAGGCAATCTACAATTTGTGTTAATGATTCAAACGGCCATACTTTCCCGTCAACTGACTTGTGATGTAAATTATTTGCATCCGTTTTCAATTAGTTTGCATATACGATATATTTTGCATCCAATAAAACCCTGTACGGAGCTGAATGCAACAGCAGCGTTATACGTGAATCATGAAAGACAAGGGCCCTTTGCCAGTGCCCTAATGTCAAACGTAAAAGATTAAGGGGGTCCCATGGGTTCAATATTAGATGAGCAAACCTCCAGTTAAACGTAAAAACATACTTAATCATCATTGCCATTAAACATTTATGTGCATAAAGAAATTCACACCTCTGTTCCAGAATTTACAACATTCATAAGATGTTTCAGGCCCATAGGCCTTGTAGTTTCAATGATGTCAAACATGCAGCCACACTAAAAAACAGCGGAACGTCATGAAGGTCAAAGGTCATATCTTGAAAAACACATATCAAAACGTGCACAAAAATGTATCATATGTTGTAACACATACTTAATGCATATCAAATTTCACATTATCATACGTGAAGAAACGATGGCGCAATGGGCAAAAATGAGATACTCAATATGGCCGCCATGGCATCCCTGTTCAGTTAGATCGGAATTCTATGAGCATATCGAGACATAATCTGCCAATGTGGGAAGTTGTAAAGGTAAATGTACCTGTCTTGCTGGTACACAGCACTGTTCCATCCCTCATGTACCTGTTCTGTAATCTCTGACATGCACTGAGTCTGTTTCAAGAGCTGTTTGACATGCTGCTTATAACATAACTTATCTATTACGCTACATTCCAGTCCATTACAGGCGTCAGATTCACCTGTCACACACCATGCCCCAGCCTCAAGTTGGAACACTGATGCAATTCATCATCAGTTTAATGGTGTTCTGAGGTAATCTGCAGATAATGATGTATGTCAGGCTTGTCTGTTGATGGAATTATCATCTCAGTGTTCAACCATTTGCCAAAATATGTTGCTATTGTTTTTTCATTTGGGGGAAATGAATGCGAACTTTCAGCTAAGGGCACTCATCAGACTTATGAAATGTACACATCTATTTCAACTTATCAAGAATGGTATGTGGAGATTAGGTATGTTGTTTGTGAGTGAATTGGGTGATCAGTGTTTGAAATTTAGGACATTATTCTCGGGGCCTTGTCTTTTTCTGACGTAAAAAGTTAAAAAGATTTAGTAGTGCAGGAGGAGCCCAGGACCCCCTATATTTGCAAACTGATGTGAAAACAAGTCATAGGATGTTCTACCTGTGAAAACAATGCCCCAGATATCAACTGTAGTATGCGAGGGATCAAACATTTCTCAAACAGAGTGATCTGTTGTATTCAGAGGCCGGTGACCCAAGCACCTCACAATCTGAAGCCCTGAAAACCAAACTGACCCACATGGGGTTAATGAAGTGAGAAACACTCCATATTGTCCAGGAGTGAGTGAGTGAGTGAGTGAGTGAGTGAGTGAGTGTGTGTGTGAGTGAGTGAGTGAGTGAGTGAGTGAGTGAGTGAGTGAGTGAGTGAGTGAGTGAGAGTGAGTGAGTGAGTCACCCAAAATGGGCTTCACACATTGTACCCATGTCAGGAATCGAACCCGGGTCTTCGGCGTGACGAGCGAATGCTTTAACCACTAGGCTACCCGACCACCCTATTGTCCAGGAACAGAGATATCAAGCCAGTCTGGTCTTAGCAGAGAGACTATCACTTGACAACAGGCAAGGACAATAAAGGAGCACTTGAATCCTGACAGAGTTCATTGGCTTCATGTTTCTCTATTTTTTTAAAGCCACACTCAGCAATATTCCAGCTGTATGATGGCAGTCTGTAAATAATCCAGGCTGGACCAGACAATCCAGTGATGTCATTTGTGAATAATGATCAACAACATTGGGATATGAAGACACACTATTAACCAAGACCACGGATCCAGTCTGTCACCTCTTACGACAAGCATAGGTGGCTGGGGACCCTTTCTAACCCAGAATCCACATGTATAGTTTATTGCGTAAAACAAATTCTTCAACAAGAAAAAAATAAAATGGAATGAATGTCTTCAGCAGGTGTAAACTCCATTTTTCGAATGAGAAAGTTGGGTGCAATAGTTTCATTAATGTTAATAAGCTGTACAGATGAAAAATTGTCTTGGTATGCATAAATACAGATAAAAAACTTACAACAAATTTTTCTCCATCTTTTTCTACTGTGTGATAGTCTGGTATTGAAATGGGGAGAGATCGTCGCTCGGAGTAATCAATGTAGGACGGACCAGAGGAGTCATCACTTGGCTCCAGCTTCTCCGCCACCTGCTCTGGCACCGATATCACTGCAACAGACACAGGTACCATATGACACAACAAGCTCACGGCATCAGCATCACCTCAACAAACACATGGACCACAGTGCTAAAAGTTAAGGGAAGTCAAAATTTGTAAAACAAATTAACCAAAATGTGGACCTAGTCTGACTTGTTTAAAGTAAAACCAAGTTTTGAAATGTTTTATCACTAAAAATAACATACCAGTAGATAACTAAATAGATGGGCTCCAAGAGATGCCAGTGATTCCTGCACCAAGGTCAATATCCAGTTCAAATTACAGGTGATAGTTTTTGGACAAATTTCTCAGTATATCATGGTATATATTTCACTTTATCATATTGGAGGAATTTAGTTCAAAATATCATAATGATTCCATCCAAATCGTAATGGTTGGTATACATGATAACATGATCATAAACTTCACACTTAAAGTGAGAAAACACATTTTAATGAAATTCCTTGACATAACATTAGAGCTAGACTATTATCTGAAGCATGTGCTTTGGATCACATCTCAACTGATTCATCATGACAGGAAACTAAAGAAGGGGCTATAATTAAATACAAGCATGTTAAGTACCCCATTCAACAAACTGAATTAGAACACAAGGATATCATAAATTGATAACTTAAATTTCTTTCCAAAGTCCAATGAAATTGAAATTTTCAAGCTCCTGCAAGTTCTAGTTGAGGCATAAATGAAATTAATTCAAGAAACAAAAACAGTTTTGATCGAGTTGTGTTTGATGAATTTGATCATGTAACAAATGTGACAGAAAAGAATTATGATACTATTGTAGTGTCACAACCACTGCATTCCTGCAGCATCACATGGGTGTGAGTCACCAGCCAGAGCTTCAGATAAGCTGTGTATTTGTGTCAAATATGGAAATATAATCACCATTACCCAAATACATTTGAGTTGCTTGTGTACAAATATGTATGATTTGTTTGTTTATTCCAACTATGTGACGGCAGTCTGTAAATAATCGAGTCTATATCAGACAATCTAGTGATTGATATCATGAGCATCGATCCACGCAATTGGGAGACGATGACATGTATCAACCAAGTCAGCGAACCTGACCACCTGATCCCGTTAGTCGCCTCTTACGACAAGCATAGTCGCTTTTTACAGCAAGCATGGGTTGCTGAAGAGCTATTCTACCCCAGATCTTTGCAGGTCTACAAATACGTATGAAAAATTAAAAAAACATAACAATAGTATAACAACATGTTTTGTCCCTGTATTACTTTACCGATCTTTATTTACTGAACGATTGCTGGCAGCACACAAACATGTACTCTACTTAAGTGAGTGAGTGAGTGAGTATGCTTTTACACCACTTCTGTGTGGCGAGCGAACACTGTAGCCACTAGGCTACCCCACCACCTCTCTACTTCAGCGAATAGTGCATAATAAATAGCGCTATGCTTATTGTTAATTAGACATGTACATCACTGTTGTAAGTCTACGTGACATGTGACACATTTGGGCAGCATACCAACAGATACAACAAACAAGTCATCTGAAACTGCATCTTATTCAGGATTATTTCTAAAAATGTCTACGTCTTGGTGTAAGTACACCTTATAATCAGGTTGGTTGGTTTGTTGTTTAACGCCGCACTCAGCAATATTCCAGCTTTATGAAGGCGGTCTGTAAATAATCGAGTCTGGGCCAGATAATCCAGAGATTGATATCATGAGCATCAATCCACGCAATGTGGGATCGATGACATGCATCAACCAAGTCAGTGAGCCTGACCACCGGATCCCGTTAGTTGCCTTTTACGACAAGCATGGGTTGCTGAAGATCTATTCTACCCTGGATCTTCATGGGTCGTAATAATCAGGACCAAAGGGAGTCAACATATATTGAATACTTAAAGAAAACTATCAATTCTCATTGAGAGTAAATATTCAACTGCTCTAAAATTTTATCTGCATTGCTTCCACACAACAGACAGGTGGGAGATCACAGACCTTTGTATTCCTGTAGGATGTGAGTTGGAAGATCACAGACCCTTGTATTCCTGCAGGATGTGAGTTTGGAGATCACAGACCCTTGTATTCCTGCAGGATGTGAGTTTGGAGATCACAGATCCTTGTATTCCTGCAGGATGTGAGTTTGGTGATCACAGACCCTTTTATTCCTGCAGGATGTGAGTTCGTAGATCACAGACCCTTGTATTCCTACAGGATGTGAGTTACCACTACAGTGAGTGAGTGAGTTTGTTTTTTTGCTGCTTTTAGCAATATACCAGCAATATCACGGCGGGGGACACCAGAAATGGGCTTCACTCATTGTACCCATGTCAGGTATAGAACCTGGGTCTTCGGCGTGACGAGCGAACGCTTTAACCACTAGGCTACTCAACCACCCTGTTACCACTACAGACAGGTGGGAGTGTAACATGTATGTTATATGTATGTTACATGAATGGTCAGCTGTTAATGATATTAGGTTGCTGGCAAATCTATTTTGAAATGTTCCAAAACAACTGATAAACAATTCCCTAGTTTCTGGCAATCATGAACATAGTAATGGTGTGATAGGGGATATACCATTACATGTCAAAGAGGTAATGCAGGTTATTAAAAAGGATGCTCACCAGACTTTTGATAATTAGACAGACAGATATCAAAGCTTCCATCATAATAAACAACGGTCCTTTTATTTCATCTATCTAAGTTCTTCACACATGTTTTATCAATAAAATTGACTAAAACTTACATCGAAACTCAGTTATTCAAATATACATGTTTAACTACATGTACTAGGATGAATGTGGGGGAGAATGTTTACTATCTGGCAGCATAATGAATTGTCTGGGAGGGTATCCCCAGCTACCAGTAAACACAAGCTTGCCAGGTAACATCAATGCAGGAGCATGTCAAGTAGATGGGGAGTGTCATCCGGGAGGTGGTAAAGACGTAACGAACTGGACCACCGAGCCTGTCATTAACCAACAGACACTGCCTAGATCATGGACATGATGGACAATGGGCTATAAAATGTGGAGTATCATGTTTTCAAATAGAATGGGTTTTTTGTGGTCATACATAGGCCATAATGTCTTTTTGTTGGTTTACGAGACCATTGACAAAAAAACAACAGAAATTTAAAAAACATAATACGACTTTTGTCCAAGATTTTTTTGTCAGACTATGTGAAATGCTAAAAAATAAATCGTATCACTGCTGTTCATAAGAAATGGTGAATAATACAAGCTCAAATCTTTATTCCACCCCACAAAACAATCAATAATCTTTGGGTATCATTTCGCAACCGTGATGGAGTGACCTTCGAGTTATGTCGTTTTTCATATATTAGTAGCACTAAGCTCCACCAACATGGGATTTTTGGTCCCAAAAACTTGTAAACCAACTAATAAAAGATATAAGGCCTAAAGATTCATCTCAGCAAAATACCTCCACCTGTCCTTTCCCTGTGGCAAATCAATCACTCATGCAGCAATATAAATACGAAGCTGAGGGCTATGTTATTTAGATAATGCGGATAAGAATGTTTCAATCTGCAATAGATCCTCCTGAAGGAACACTGAACTGATGAATTGTCTGGTTGCTTGGGCCAATTAACAAAATGGTAATATTGCATAACCTTGATTTCACTGAGAACAAATATTCATTTCAGATAATCACCCATGTATTACATTTATACATACTTACACCCAAACACGCTAAATGCATTCATCAGAAATTTGCAAACTTTAGCATGAGACATATATCATCTTCATAAAAGTAAGGAATAAGAATTCAGATTTTGAAAATGTCAAAGTACTACAATAGTAGTTACCGTATTCGACATAATAAGCGCCCAGGGCGCTCTCATAATTAGAAATAGGGGGCTCCTATTAGAATATTATTTTGTAGAAAAACAACAGAGTTGAAAAATCGTAAATTTCGTGGTTTATGCTTACAGCCTGAAATGTTTATATATGACAAGATATATTTTTCCAGAATTTAATTTCTATAATTAAGGATGCATATAACACACGTATTATGCACGAACAAATAAGTCTTGTGTTCATTGAACAATCGGAACCGGTGCTAATTGGGATTGTTCACTAGCCAGTATATTAGCAAATATCGCCGTGGGCGCTTATTAGAGCGGGGCGCTTATTACGTCGAATACGGTACTTACAAAAATACAATACACAATTTATATCAGATTAATGATGACTGATCAGTTGGAACCCACTGAACATAGACAATGACCAGGATGATAGATGAGGAAATCACCTACACGTTTAATTGTAGTTATCACGATTATGTCATCATGACCATAGCAGTAATAACAATAATTTAGTAGAGACTTGAGAAATACAAAGATAAATAAACAGTAAATGAAAAGTATCGTGGCTGCTGTAAATAACAGTGACTTATTACAATCACTTCACACACGATTTCGCCAAAATGAATGTCAACAATATTGAATGAAATTTTAAATAAAATTAATGTAAACAGGTAACAAACATCCGGATAGACAATAAACACCTTGGATAACAAGACAGAGTAATTAGAAGATTAATTTGCGTACTTCAGTACGCATTTGTTGACATGGTATTTCTGGTGTTATGTGCTCATGGTAATGTCTTTGTGGTAGTAAAAAAACATCAAAACTCTTCTACACTGTGTATAAGTGAACCCCCCTTGAAATGCCCCTAATTCTAGGTAAAAAACTTGCCTTTTCACAGCGATATACGGTCCTCCAACAGCTTTAGATTAACTAAACAGTGGACTTATCTACTTACAACTTGTGTCTGACTACGAAATGTCAAGTGTTTTCCCTTGAGTTTCAGTTTGAATAATAGATTCAATTCCTTTCCCAAATTCAGCCTGTTTGCATGTGGTTTAAGCATGTTAAGTATTCTTACAGGAACATAAACTGATTAATATGCCAGCACATCAGTCACAGAATGTCTGATTAAATTTGAAAGAAACGATAACTTAATCATGTAAATCAACAATGACTTCACCTT